TATATATGAATTGTAAGTGCACCTGTGTCATTCAATACCCTAACCCCAGAGGTCAGAAAAGGGTGTTGGTTCTCTTGGAACTGAAGTTACAGGAAGTTGTGAGCTACCGTGTTCTGGAAACTGAACCCAAGTCCTGTGCAAGAGTAGTAAGCACTCTTAAGCACTGAGCTAACTCTATCACCTTTTAGCAAGTATTTGGCAATGAACAAGTTTCATGGGTAATTAGAAAATAAACTATCCAATGGCTGTCATATAGGATCTCTTTAAAGTTTGTTTGCTTTTTGTAATTACCCATTTTTATGGAGTGACCATGGAGAGCTGTGTGTCTTTCCTGTCTCTTGCCACATGATACTTGAACCACCTAAAGATGCCTTTATTTTTTTAATTTTATTTAATTTTTCTGTTGGGGGGTGGAGAGATGGTTCAGTGGTTAAGAACACTAGCTGCTCTTGCAGAGGACCAGGTTCAATTCCCAGCACCCAACATAGCAGCTAACAACTGTCTATAACTTCAGTTCCAGGGAATCTGATGCCTTCTTCTGACCTCCATGGGCCCTGCATGACACAGGTACACTTACACTCATGTAGGCAATATATGCATACACATAAAACAAAAAATAAATAAATTTTTTTAAAGTTTAAAAAAAAATTTTTTTTGCCAGCATGTAAGTGCGCCTGTGCATGTAATGCCCATAGGGGCCAGAAGAGGGCTGGACATCCCTGGAACTGGAACCTTGTAGATGCTGAGAATTAACCCAGGTCTTCTGCAAGAGCAGCCATTGTGCTTAACTGCTGAGCCATCTCTCCAGGCCCCATTATCCTTCCCTAATTCTTAAAATGGTGTGAGGAGACAGTTACTTGGTGAGTTGTAGGACCATGGCTGCACAGCCTTCAAGAATGAGATACATGATCTCATAAAATAATTCAAATGATTGGTCAAGGTATGGAGAATAAGTGATGTTGAGTGCTTAGCCCTAAATACGACATTTATACTACCTCCTCTAAGGTTCAGGGAACATCACAGAAAAGGGGACAGGAAGAATGTAAGAAACAAAAGATACAGAAGAGGACTGCAAAATGCCATCTTCTGGGTATGAAAAAAGTCATCACAATCTTGAACTCACAGCAGCTGCAGTTATGTGCACTGGGCCTGCATGAAATTGACTTTGTTGACAATCAAGAGTAAATTGGGGGAGGAGTTCATGGGGCCCCATCCTTTTTTGCTGAACTACTAGCTACTGAAAGATCCTGGGAGAGGAGTCATTTTTCTCAGTTGAGTACTCACTGGTAAGCCCACCAAATTCCAATAGATATTTCCAAACCTGTGGTTACACAGGTGGCTCTGGGAAAACTCAGTGGATCACAAAACAAAACAAAAATACATGAACATGGGAAAGGCATTTATAGGGAGGAGGCGGGGTTGAGAGAGGTGGGAGGTGAGAGTAATTATACTGCATTTTATATATGTATGAAAATGTCAAAGAACAAACTTAACTAAATGAATAAACAAGTAAATAAAATCAAACAGGGTGGTGACAGGGCTCAGCAGATAAAGACACTTGGACCACAAGCCTGATGACTTGACTTTGTTCCCTGGATCCCACTTAAAGGTGGAAGGAAAGAACTGATTCCACATAGTTCTTCTCTGATGTTCACAAGGGTGTCATGGCATGTATACTCACCATCATGTCTATAAATATACACAATAATAATAATAATAATAAATTTAAAAATTAAAAGACAAAGACAGCTTAATCACTCATTCTTGTAAGTCAGGACACAACTAGAAGGCACAGCGTATAACTAAGAAGGGGCCCTCTCATTACTGCTATTTTTGTGTCCTTAGATTCCCTACCTTTCTGAAAAAAATACACTTTTTTATTATTGCTATGTTAGCAGTGAAATAGACAGTTATGTTGACAGTTGTCATTCAATCTGAACCATGTACATGAGCAGGTGTATGAGTACCATGATTTCCCTGCCCTCATGAATTTACATATCGCAGGCATGAATATCATATACAAGCTCACACACATGACTTGTTTTTCATCAGTCATTGTCAATCTTTAGGCGTGAAGCATGAAATAAAAACACACCTTCACATGTAATTGAAAATTAAAGAACTTAGGGACCTATGAACAGGGAGCAATAGACACAGAGGGGTCTTCGTGTCATACTTGGAGAATATCTGCTGAAAAATGTCAAGGAATTAACTCAAAGTGTACACTATATCCAACACCAAAAAGTTTAAGCACTCATACAAACATAGGAAATATATGAATGAGCAAATAAAATACATGAATGCATGGAGTTGGATGACACTATCCTACAAAAAGATCATCACACCAGATCACAAGGAGACCACAGCTGCTTGAGCCTAAGGAATAAGTGTGGAAAGCAAATCACTGGTATGGGCCAAACACAAATGTCTGTAGATGAATCATTTCAACAGTCCCAGGGAAAGCTGCATCCCACTATCCTAGTTTACAATAACAAAACTGACCATTAGGAATTTTGTTGAGAAAAATTCCTGTAGAAGCTTTTATTTATGACATTCTTCAGCTCCTTATTCCGTAGGCTGAAAATAATTGGACTAAGGAAGGGAGTGAGGACTGTATAAGTGGTGGACATGAGGGTATCAGTGTATAGAGAATGGGGTCCCCTGGACTTGAGGTAGATGATGGAGGCAAAACCATAGTGCACAACCACCACAGTGAGATGGGATGCACATGTGGAGAATGTCTTCTGCCGACCCTCAGTAGAGGGAATTCTCAAGATGGCAGCTACAATGAACACATAGGAAAAGGCAATGAAGACCAGGCAACCTATCAGGGGTGTGACACACACCAGGATCACACCAATGGTGACAAAAGCTGTACTCGCTCCACAGGCCAACTTTAAGAGGGAGAATACATAGCAGAGAAAGTGGTGGATCACATTAGATCCACAGAAGGTGAGGTGGAAAATTATTAGTGTCACTATCATCCCAATGAGTGAGCCGCCAGCCCAAGACCAGGCCACAAGACGGGCACAGCCTTGGAGACTCATGAGTACATGGTAACGCAGGGGTTGGCAGATGGCCACATAGCGGTCATAACCCATGACCATGAGCAAGAAGGAATGGGTGTAGCCAAATGTGAAGGAGAAAAACAGCTGGTTAGCACAGGCTATAAAGGTGATGGAGCGGTGGGTAGACAACATATCACACAGCATACGAGGGGTGATGACGACAGTGAAGAGAATCTCAGAGATGGAGAGGGCAAACAGGAAGAGATACATAGGGGTGTGGAGTCTGTGTTCTGTCCAGACAGCACCCGTGATGAGCAGGTTTCCTAGCAGTGTGAACAGATACATCAGCAGGTACAACAGGAAGAGAGCAGGCAGCATCTGCTGCGGGAAGGCTGAGAAACCGAAGAGGATAAATTCTGACCCGGTGCTATCGTTCTGACATGGCATGGCTTCTGTAGCTGATGAGATAAGAGATACATTGGTGAAAACTCAGGTTCTGGTGCTGATCCAGCAGCAGTTTAAAGGTTTCATGTTTTTAACAACTTACTGAATATTTCTGGGTCTCATCTCCGCCTCTGTAACAACAATTCCTACTCAGCATTGGAATAAATAGAATATGAAAGTGACATATCAAGTTCTTAATGCAGAATTTGGGTACTAATTGGATTTTTCATTAAATACTGACGAAATAAATGAAAGAGCCTAGAGACAAGCATGGATGACCAGGATCTGATTTTCACATTTTCTATGTTGTAGTAAACATATACTTACATAGTTTTTCTTTTAAGTTTTGTTCTTCCTGATAGTCTATGTTTATTTATTTATTATTTAGCTAAACCACATTTATTTTAATTCCATTTTGGGTACTCACTTCTGCCATCATATTTTTCTATTCTAAAGAAACTATAGGGATTTCTGAAAATAAAGAATGGACAAATATATGCCAAGCAATATTCATCACTTGAAAGTTTAGTCAGCATTCTTTCTTATGTGTATATGTACATGTCTGTGTGTAGGTCTACACATGTGAATGCAGTCCAGAAGGGGGTGTTGGAGTCCCTGGAGCTGGAGTTACAGGTGGTTGTGAACCACCTAATGTGGGTGCTGGAAGCCAAACTCAAGTCCTCTGCAAGAGCAGCAAATGCTCTTAACAAATGAGCATTTTTTCCAGCCCCAAGAAAATATTCTTACTAAAAAGTAAATGCAATGACCATGTTGTGCATATATTCTTGAAAAGAACTAGAGTTCCTTGAACAAATAACTGCTTTATGGACTAGACATAGAAGCAAGCTTAGGACATTTGCACCAGAATGAAGTGGACATTTCACTGAATAGTGGGTTAATGTCAAAACGGGTGCAGAAACCTGACTGTTATTCAAAACTCTAACAACTGAAACATGAGAAGTTAGAATACTCATAAAGAAAATGGAGGAGCAGGCACATTAGGAAAAAATAAGGCAAATCCAGAAGATGCAACATTCAGTTGAACAAGTATTTTGAAGAATAATCAACTTAATCATTAACATTTAAGTGCATTCTAATTGTTTTAGACAAGAAGAAAAATGTTCATACTTTTGAAACACTAAAAATTTAAGTCACATACTCCCAAAGACAAGATAATGTGTTTACTGGGTAAAAGAGCGTTCTAACAGCCAGCACACAATCATAAATCTGTATTAATCCCTAAAATATTCTATATTTGTCCCTAAAATATTGGAATAAGTCACCAATACAACTTTAGTGAGACACTAACAGAAATAGGTAACTCAATAATATATAGACACATAAGAATTGGAGCTACTAATATAGAGTTCAGAAGCTTAATTTGTCATGCAGTTAATATCAAGAAAGTAGAATTTGGGTATATTTATATGCTTTGAAATAAAGAATAAACATTTTTTAAAAAAACATACTTATTTTATGAGTTGATTTCTTTATGACATCAAAAATTCCAATTCCAAAGCATAATTGCATAGATTATAGTGCAGTAACGTAAATTATAGGGAAGGAATAGCTTTTCAAATCCTATGGGAAGCTGGGTGTGATGGCTCATGCCTTTAATCCAGCACTCAGGAGGCAAAAGAATGCAGATCTCTATGTGTTCAAGGCCAACCTGGTCTACATAAGCAAGTTCCAGGCCAGCCAAGACCTACATAGTGAAAACGTTCTGAAAAAAAAAATATTCAAACAAATTCCAAGGGATAGGATACAAAATATATGTGGGGGGGTGGCTCTGGAGAGATGACTCAGCAGTTAAGAGCACATACTGCTCTTACAGAGGATCCAAGTTTGGCTTTTAGCAGCCACATTGGGTGGTTCATAACTGCCTGTGCCTCCAGTGCCAAAGGATCAGCTGCCTCTAGCATCCCTTGGGCACACATATACACACATAGACACACAATACACATACATGTGATTAAAAATAACATAAATAAATCTTTTTTATAAATTTAAATAAAAGTATTGAAAAGAAACAGTAGAGGAATAAGAAGGGAAATGTGCCCATAGTAAAACACAAAATAAATAATGGGAAATAATGACAAAAATCCTAGATACTTTAAAATAAATAAGAATATTCATATAATTATGATCTATTAATTTTTAGACAGAAGATAAATAAGTTCTCCAAGGAACACAAAATTCCAAATATAGTAGAATATAAAGGATCCTGGAGACCCAAATAATGTCTCAAGAAACTGAAATGCTATTCCAAGGCTTTCTCTCCCTCAAATTATGTCCCCAGTAGGCTTACAAATGAGTTCTACTAGGATCTGAAGAATCCATTGATTAGTATCTTATTCATATTCTTCAAAAATGTGAAGGGATGAGAAAACTCCCAGATTCTTTCATTATGCTAATTCAAGAGTGTTTATGGGTGGGGGCTAGTGTGATGGCTCAGCAGTTAGGTGCACATACTACTCTTGCAGGGGACCCTGGTTCAATTTCTAGCACCTTCATCAGGCTGCTCACAACCACCAGTTCCAGGTGATTAAATGCTTTGGGCTTCCAAGGGCACCAGCACTCATGTGCACAGACCCACACACATACATATAATTAAAAATAATAAAGTAAATCTTTAAAAAGAATGTTTGTATGAAGAGAAAATGATATGACTACTTCACCAGGCATGCCCATTTTAAAATGCACAGTAAAACATAACCTAGTTAATGAAAGAGGCATACTTAAAGTTTTGTGGTAGAGTGGTATTGGTTTGTCTTTTGAATGACAAGGACAATTCAGTATGAGAAACCCAATCATAGGACTCATTACACAAACCAATTCAACAGAAATATCATGTGATGATTTCAATCTCTGCATAAATACCTTTTCTAAAATGCAATTTAGGATATTCCTCCCTTGGAGCCCCTCCCTCTCTTGGGAGTTCTTTCCCACTTTTCTTCAATAAATCTACATTGACTCTGCTTAAAAAATAAAAATCGGTTTATATTAATAGTCTTAATTATGTCTTCAAAGCATAAGATTAAAGGGGAAGTCCTTTCCTCAGTTAAGTACATACACAATGAAACTAGCACGTGAGACTAAATGGAAAAATGCATTATTTTAGGATTAAGCCAAGGATACTCACTGTCTCTGCTGTCCTTTCACATAAAACTAAATGTCATACATAGTGCTAGAAGACAAGAAAATGAAATGTTACATAGGGACTAGAAGGGATGAGTCAGGTTCATCACCTGGAAGTAGTGAGAGACTCGAGGTGCAACAGGCTAGAATAGTGAAAGGGCAGCACAATGCTACCAAGGAGATCAGCTGGAAGAAAGTACTATGTTCCTCACAGATTTACATCAATCATCTTCTTTCAGTGATACCATTTAGATGAAAGCAAGCAATTTCCATCACAAAAGAAATACAAAAATAGAAATGACTGTTGAATGTTTTGGTCTACATCTTCCTTTATGCTCAATAACAATTTAGGACCCTAAGAGGCATTTAAGTTGTTTTAACTACAGCTTTTTACCATGTTAGAAATTAAAATGGAGAGTGTTTTAAATCACTTAATGTTTTTGCAAATACATCAAATGTCTGAACTGTCTATGTGCTTTTATCTATTCTTTATTCAGTCTGGGAAAATATACTATTTAATTGAAAAAATACCTCCCTCATGTCATTAGGAAAAAAGTACTCTTGGATATAGAGAAATGATTTCAGAGACCCAATGGACATCACCTGATATTGGGAAGCATCTTCTATATAATATATATGTATTTATGGAAAAATGGCAACATTTATCTAGAGGAAAAGTTTGTTAATGAAAATGTAAAAGATCACCTAAGCACACAGTTTACAGCCTTGAGTGGGTGATCTAATACGATGTCACTTCTGCAAACTACATCCCTAATGAAATTTTGTGTGGAATTCCACTGAATCAGCTGTAAATGGAGGCCTAGGGGGTGTGACACCTTCTTCTGGCCTCAGTGGGTATTGTACATATGGGTGTACTTACATACATGAGGGCAAAACACTCATACACTTAAAGATTAATTAACTTAAAAAAGAAATCCTCAAACCTTGCTGCTGGGAGTGCAGAAAGTGGGAATTAATATTGTAAATAGACTCAGATCAGTGAGATGGCTCAGTGTTAAACTATTTGCTGCCAAGCTTAACAGCCTGAGTTCAGTCACCAGGACCCACATGGTGGAAGGAGAGAAAAGATGCCTTCTGACCTCCTCAGTACACATACAATGGCATGCACCTCATACACTCATGCACACTAAATAAACAAATGCTAAAATAAGATAAAATTTCACTTTGACAAGCAGACTTGCTCCCAAGTATCTACAATAGTTATTGAAGCCTGTTTGTGAGTAAACATGTAATAGAATATTTCCTGTAGCATTTATTTTAGTGAGGGAGTTTAAAATAACTCCTTGATGAAGTAAAAGCAGACAGTGGATCCTCTGCTAAGAATTAGAACTACACATAGCAATTCTTACTAATGATGCTGAATAAATAAAGCAAAAATGCAGTGAACTCTGTAACGTAATTCTACTTGGGTACATTAAAATCATACATATTTGAAACTGTTCTGTATGATCCAGTGTTAGAAAAGCAGGAACAGAACAGTGGAGGCCAGGTACAACTGCATCAGGATTCCTTAACCTTAACAGTCATGACATGGGAGTGGGGGTGCTGACACTTTCTTGTGGTAGAGGATGTCTTGACCATTGTATAAGATGTAGCAGCATCTCATCTTTGGGTTTCAGCCACAAGATTTCATTAAATCAATCTCTTCGTCTCTGTCTCTGTCTCTCTGTCTCTCTCTGTCACACACACACACACACACACACACACTGTAAACACACACAGAAAATGTTTACAGACACATCCACATTTCCCTTGTGGATCAGGATCACCACTTACCGAAAACCTTTACCTTAGCATTTAAGTTAGCACCTAGGTTAGCTGAATGACAAAGCACCCTGCGGGGG